TTTTTGATTATTTCTCCCCCTGAATTTGTGCATGGGTGAGAATGAAATAAAAATGCGCAAATTTAAGCCAACCTAGCCAAAATTCGACTAGAAAATAAGAATTAAGAAAATGAAATAAATAACTTAAAATAAGTAAAAAAAAATAAAATATAAAAAATAGAAAATAAAATTAATCCTCAAAACGAATCATTTTCAAAAATCCCACAAGCACATCGAATCGAGCTTTGTTAAAAGGCTTGGTGAACAGATCCACCACATAATTAGCAGTAGGAACCTGCTCCAGCCAGATGAGTGAACGCTCATAACAATCTCTGATAAAATGAATTTTGATATCAATGTGCTTGCTTTTGGAATGTTGGACAGGATTTTTAGCAATTTGAATCGCAACCTCATTATCACAGTGAATAGGGGTTTCTAAATAATTCAAACCGTAATCCAACAGCTGATGTTGGATCCAGATAACTTGGGAGCAACAAGCAGATGCAACAACATATTCTACTTCTGCTGCTGAGGTTGAGACAGTGTGTTGTTTCTTGCACTGCCACACTACTAGCCTGTCACAAAGGTATTGACACCCTCCTGAAGTAGATTTCTTGTCAAGCTCACAGCCTCCATAATTACTATCAGCAAAAGCATATGAATGAAATTCGGAATTCTTCGGATACCAAAGACTCAATTTTGGACTGCCTATGATATACCGAAAAATTCTTTTGATAGCAATAAGATGTGAGAGTTTAGGATTACCCTGATAACGTGCGCATTGAGAAACTACAAACATGATGTCTGGACGGCTTGCAGTAAGATACATCAACGATCCGATCACCGATCTATAATGATTCTGATCTACAGATTTGCCATTTGTATCTGGAGTCAGCAAGAGTCTTTCGGCTATCGGTGTTGATGCAGGTTTTGTGTCTTGAAACCCAAACTTCTCAAGAATATCCTCTACATACTTAGCTTGATTGATCATGATTCTTGCTAAATTTTGTTTAACCCGAAACCCCATAAACATGGTCGTTTCTCCCAACTAACTCATCTCAAACCGCTTTTTCATGACACCTTCAAACTCCTTTCCAAGTTGCAGACTGGTCGACCCGAAGATAATGTCGTCAACGTAGATCTGGACTAGAATCTGATCATTATCCACATGCTTGATGAATAAAGTTTGATCAATAGTACCACAAGAGTAACCATGCTCGAGCAAATGCTTTGTGAGAGTCGCATACCACGCGCGAGGAGCTTGATGTAACCCATACAATGCCTTGTCCAACTTGTAGTCATGATTAGGAAACTTCGAGTTAACGAACCCAGTGGGCTGATCAACATAGAATTCTTCCTTCACCTTGCTATACAAGAAGACTGCCTTAACATCCATTTGGAAAACAATGAAGTTCATGTAGGAAGCATAAGAAAGGAAGATACGAATAGCATCCAAATGAGTTACTGGAGCATAAACCTTAGTGTAGTCAAGACCCTCGACTTGTCTAAACCCACAAACCACCAATCTAGCTTTATTATGCACTATAACTCCTGAATCATCATGCTTGTTTCGATAGACCCAGCGTGTGTCAAGAGACCTTTTGCCCTTTGGTAACTCAACCAATTTCCAAACCCCGAGGTTTTCAAACTGATTCAGCTCTTCATGCATAGCATCTACCAATCTGGGCTCA